AAAATAAAAATCTTTTATATCTTACAGTGAGGCCATTTCTATTCATTAGAACTGTCATGGGCACTTAGGGTTCCTCTGAGTAGCGGGGCTGCTAACAACGTGCCGACATGGGGTTAAGCGACATGTTCTGCTGCTTTTGCTGCGCATTGAGATCAGCCATGCTCCCTAATAGAGTCAGTTCTGTCTGATCGGACGGTAAACAGAACCAGAGCGAGTCCGGGCCTTGGAAAGAGTCACAACAACTTCGTTGGGGGTGTGGGGGCGTCACGGTTCTGATGCTAAACGCGTTTCTAACCTCTGAGGCGTCAGAGGAAGATCATTTAAGAAAAATCATCTTCCTTAACAGGATGGTCCCCATTCACCGGGGCGACCTTGCGCTCCTGTACGTTTTAAACAAATTAAAAACAAATCCGACAGATCGCAAATTTGCGACACCCTTGTTTGTTGCCGGCACAACAAACGCTTTGATTTAGGATGGGAGCAAGGTCGGCGTGTGGGAGAGAAATTACATAAAGTAAAAAGGCTGCTGAAGATTGAAGGGTTGAAGACAAGAGAAGGAAGTCTCTCATCAGGTGAAAATGGGAAGAAAAAAAAAACACGACAGACAGAGAAAGGTGCAATTAAATGAAGAAGCAGTAGTCTATTCAAACATTCAAAAAAAGAGAGAAAAAAAATCAGAAACAGAGAAAATAAAAAAAAAAGGTTTGAGGCTTTAATCCTCATCAGTTGTGAAAGCCACAGAAGGAGAGCTCACTTAATGAAGCATTCAGCCTCAGACATCTATGGATCGACTCGTTTCATTTGAGCGAAGCTCATTAGGTGAGGAAAAAAAAAAAGAAGAAGCAGAGGTGCCCGTCAATCCGTACACAGCGAACCTAGAGTGGAAAGCATTTCCACGGCGAACAGCTGAACAATGCGCCTTCAAGGATCTCAGCAATTTATAGGAACACTTTTAGGAGGCCCCATTCACACACACTGACACCGTACGGTGAGGTGGGCCAGGTGGCGCCGCCATCGCACGCGCTTCTCCTGTTCGATTCCACCAAAGTGTTCAAGATCTTTTACTCTGCGACAGCAGATTTGCTGATTAGCAAAGGAAAAGACTGACACAATGCTGCCGTGCAAGTAGGACTAATGACATAAAAAAATTAAAACAAAATTGCTAATTGATCTTTGACAAAGATTGTACATCACAAGATTTTCCCCATTTACACACAATTTATGTCCATCAAATTGCGAGCTGGTAGTTGGTCAAGTTATTCGTCAAGTAAAAATTTTGGAAGTTCTGTGATTCGTTTAAGGAAAAGACTGGAGCGAGGGGGGAAATTACAATTTTTTTGGAATTTAACCTGCTGATCATCAATCAGAGTCCTTGAAATCCAAACTTGATCTGATTTGCTGATTCCAGTGAAATGGACCAGTAGGAAACTCATGGAATATTAAACTGGAGTTAAAAACAGTAAAACAAAAATGTACATAATCTAAACATACTAAGGAAATTATTACTACTATTGCTCAAACACTAATATATTTATTATTGCCTGTATAATGATATCCTTAAGATTAACATACTCTTTTTAATACATAAGTTCAGATAAAAATGCTGTAGCACACCTTCTAAATTCAGTTGTAGCTTCAAGTGCTTTTATTCTATATTTCTCTTAAAGGGGTAGGAACAGCAGTAAATAACTCTCTTGAGGTCTGTATGTAGTGTTAAATCCAGATTTGTTGGTCCTGGAGGCTGAAACTAATAGTCAAAGCGGAGCTGAGATCAAAGTGGACTTCCTCCATCTTAAAACAACTTCAATCTCAAAAAGGTCAGAGTGATTTATGGCAGTGCTAGCTTATTAACATTTAAACTATCATCACCTTTATTTGATAGCTGGTGAACTAAGAAGTGAATGATCATTTACACAGGAAGTGGAGGTGGTGTGCCACCAAAGAACTTCCAGTGTCAAAAAGGGAGTCATGTAAAGCTTTCCGGTTTGTTTTTAGCCTCCGGATAGCTGCTAGTTTCAGCCTCGGGTTATAATGAATTTTAATTATTACTAAATGAAAACACCAAGAGATTTATCTGCTGCAGGTAACTTACCTACTCAACTATCCCTTTAATAAAAACAACAAAACTATTACAAGCTGATATTAGCGGGGCAGTAAGTCGGGCTAACTGTTCAGCTAGCTAGCCAGTACTTGGCTAGCAGTCCTTCTGCTAACAGTTCGCCAGCTGTTGTTTTAACAGTGTTACCTTAGTGACGATTTCTAAGAGTGCTCTTTTAGTTTCCTCACAATGACCACCCTTGTCATTTTTATTTCTAAAACTGTAGCAGTGGCCTACTTTAAGCTTGCTGGCAGGCATTGAGAAGCAACAAGTGAGGAAGGCACAGCACTGTGTTCTTCCATTCTCCATCCTGTTTTAATTACATTAATTGTCGGGCTAAAAGCTGACTCATGCTAGTTAATTACTAAGTAAATTATTAAGGAGAAGAGGTGAAGAAATGTATGTCTTGGCGCTTATTGAAACAAAGCAGTCTCATCTTTTAACTTATTTCACTTTAGATTAGAGGAGGGAAATGTCAAAACACCTTTTGAACCCCCCAACAGACACACACCATTTCCTTTAAAGCCGGTTCCTGTGAGGTTCTTAAGAAACACAGCTACCTGCCTTTCAACTCAAGACACCATTCACTGTAATACGCCTCTGGCTGTCCCATTCTAGCCAACTTTACTGTATCAATAACACAGTAAAACTTCTAAATGAGGGAGATCAAGAGCTCCTGTGATATCATCACGATTACTATCTGCACATAACAGTAAAGAGGGGTGTTTGACGGGTTTAGATCTGGCTCGCTTTGGGGAGGGAAAGGGCGAGCCGAGGCACGCCGGCAGGCCTCGGAGAGAAAGGGAAACCTGTGTTTTCACTGACTGAAACTGTGATCTGACAGTCGAGGGATAAGCCACTTGTAATTTAAGATGTTCAAAGATCTTCTGAAGAGGAAAGGGAAAACAAAATAAGCATGGCCGACATGGTTGGTCTCAGTCTGTAAGCAACAGGGGGGAGAAGACAGAAAACATCTTGTCTATGAAATATGAGGCATTAAAGTAATTTAATCAAAGGGTTTGTTCAGACAGTTTTAGTTGTTGTTATTGTGGAAAAAATCCTACTGTAACTATCACTAATTACCCCCAGTAATATACGAGTGACAATATTTTGCAGTCAAAATACTTAAGACTTAGTCATAATTAAACATTTAAACTTTATTTGTGTATTTCCATTTGCTTAGTGATTGTCCAAATAAAAATGATCAACAGAGATGACTGATAAGTGCAGACTATTTTCTTACTCTGACCTTTCATTGACCCGACATTTACTGTAAAGGAAACCCATATATGGAGATAATTGAATAAAAGGACTTAGCCCATATAAATTCAAACTACGATGCAACTATGTGAAAGGAGTTTTAATCCATAAAGACAATTTGACTTTGTGATGGTCTCAGTCATGATAAACTGAAAATACGCATATTCAGCTGCAGTTTTATGTATCAAGCAATAATTATAATAAAATAATTATATGTATTTATCATGAAAAAAATTATAAGTGTACAGAATCATTATTTGGTGAATAAAAATTAAGCCAAAACAAAATGTGTACGGATACAACAATAAACGGTTTTAATAATAATCATTAAAAAAATGAATGTCAGCCACATCATGGAAATTCAGTTTTACTTGTGACATTGTCACAAGTAAAGAGTTTTGAAGAAGTTTTAGTTTTTCCTACACGCAGAAGGACACAACAGAAGTACTTCTCTGCCTCTAGCTTCCTGTAAGCTAACGCTGAGTAAGCTAACATTTACTCAAACGTTTGTGATTTAAAAAAAAAAGACCTGCTCTAGTTGTTTGTTTGTTTTCTAATTTCTTTGAAAAATTCACACCATGGCAAAAGTAATGGATTTATGAAGTTTTAGTTTTACTACACGCAGAAGGAAACAACAGTAGTTCTCTGCCTCTAGCTTCCTGTCGGCTAACGCTAAGTAAGCTAACTTTATCAAGGCGTTTGTGATTTTCAAAATGACCTGCTCTGTTTATTTTTTTTATTTTTTCTAATTTCTCAGTTGTTTTTGTATAATATTTTGAGCCAGAGCCTTCCACTTGACAAGACTGTCAAAATAACACAAGGCATTTTGCCTGAAGCTTTTTGGCAAGTTTCTACTTTGTCAGAACTTCCTGAGAAAGAACTTCCTACAAACCTTCCTGCAAATATTCTTCACTCTCAAGTTAAAACACGTGAGACTTGATGCTTATTGTGAATTCTTCTGTGACTTCATTTTTTAATAAAGAATAAAAGTTGTCAAATCTGTCAGTATTACTATTAGCACAACTACTAATAATATCTACATGTATGCTGATTGCGTAATTATCAGTGAATCAACTTAAATCTTTAATAATCATTTTAGAATTTTTATGCATTTTAACAAATCTGATCATTTTGATAACCGTCAGTTTGTTCACAATAGTCATGATGAGTCTGTAGACTATAGAACTGATATTTGAGCAGATATTTAGGATGATCTTCTGAGTGAACTACGGACAAACATTTCTACTTTAGTCCAAAGATTCCAGAAGTCTTGTGGAGAAAGAGTGAAATCTGCTTTGTGTTTTTGACACTTTTTTAGGTCTGCTTTTAATTATTTCACAATCTGGGAAAGAAAAAATTTTGGCAACGTCTTGGTACAGAAAATCTTGGGATTAAAATTCTACTTCCTTTTAGTCTAACTGGATCTATTTATTGATAGGTTTAGATTGTAAAACATTTAGGCCAATACATTTTCACACACAGCCTAAGCCGAGCAGAAGTGTTTTTCTCAGACTTCGAAAAGCCATTGTCCAAAGCAAGACAACAAGTGAGGTTGTCGAGTGAAAGACTTGTTACAGTGTGTAGCATCCAGGCCTGAGCAGAAAGAAATGCAACACTAAAAAGAGGGAGCTGTCTCCTGTGTTCCCTGAAGACAGAGATGAAAAACCATCCACACACATTTTCAACAAGCTGAGGACTTTCTCTCACCGTCTTGTTCCGACTTCGTCAGCTCCACGAGCTTCTTCTGTTTCAGTGTGTCAACCACGTCTGCCAGACTTCCTTTACGTCGCTCGGGAGTCCCGAAGGCCAGGCCGATCACCGACTCCCCTCGATCCCTGGAACACTCCTCCGGCTTGGTAGGAGAGGTAGAGTTAGTCCAGTAAGGGTAGCCAGAGCAGCCTTTGCTGCCTTCATTGTCCTGAGAAGAGATAGACAACGAGCGTTTAAACTTCAACACCACAAATGAATGAAAAAGATCTGCAGAATTAAGCTTGACTGGTGACTAAAAGGGCAAGATTTCAGTAGAAAACAAGAAGACTGAACAAACCACAGAACAGTTCCTATTTTATCCCTTGGGCATGTCTGTCACGAAACATACCGGATTTGTCAAACGAGCTTGGCCGTCTCAGACATAAGTGTCCACACAAAGGGTGTCCAACTCCAGAGCAATCTGAAAATTTAATGCTCACCAGAACTTGACAATGTTGGTTTGTGTGGTAAAAGTTTGAACAGTGCAGGTCTATACATTTCCCAGGGAATTCACACATAGACTGCACTGCTATGCTAGCATAGTTAGCAAATGCTTGCTAACTATCCTAGAATAATTAGCTAATGCTAGCTAACTATACTAGCAGCATTATGCCAGCATTGTTAGCTAATTAACTAATGATGGCTAACTTAGTAATGCTAGCATAGTTAGGTAGCATTAGCTAATCATGCTAGCAGAGTTAGTCGAAAACAAAATTAGCTTATTGTTTAACAGTTCTTTCAGCTAAAATTGGTCTCAGCAGATCAAAGTTTTACATTTTACATTTCCACAAATGAATGAGTAACGTTTATGTGTCTGAAAACTTTCTATGCAGACATCTTGTTCATTTTTACCACAGCCACTTCATTATGCAGTATGGGCATAAAGTAATTTTTTTAGCTTTATGTGACGTTGGAATGGCCTTACTGGATCGGTACATTTATGTTTAGGACTGCATTTTATTTCTGGCGGAACCTGATATTGATCTACCTGCCACCAAGAACACTGTGGTCCACCCCAGTTCTATATTTTATACCACCTGCTTTTAGCGCGCTGTGAGTCATAATGTGACTGAAAATAAGATGTCAAAGCCAAGGATAATGCCTTTTCAGCCTGAGGAGTGTGAAAGCACCAAGACATGAGAATATGTCAGACTCTCAGAGAACAATCCCAGCTGCCTGAAATTTTTGTAAAGGGTGAACTCTGTAGTCGTTAACTCGTTTGAAATATATTTGCAAGACCTTTATTTTGAGAGCGAAAGGACGACAGGTTCAGTCATATAAAGACGTCTGAAGTGATTCTGATTTTATGGTTACCTCAAGTGGATACTTAAGATTTGGTCGTTATTAGACCTCAACGGTTCAGCGTGAAACTTTTTCTTTTTCTTCAGAAAGTTGATTAATTCTTGTCTAAAGTGCAAAAGCTACCTTTCCGCTGCCTATTAAGCACTTTTAGTGTTTTCCTCCGTCGGTATAAAGCGTCTATAATTATCAAGAAGATAATCCCCTCAACATGAGCACATTGTCCCACACAACAGACACTTGAGCACAGGTGTCCCAACACCGGAGCTATTTCAGGATGCTTTCTCCGCCCCCTTAGAGAGTGAGGGGATCTCCGAGAACTTTTGGAGGCTTATGTTTCAAAGACAACAGGCTTTGCTGAACACCAGGATCTTAAGACGCCCTTGAAATGGCTCCAACAAGGGGCCCCTGTTGTGCACTTTGTCTTTAAGCAGGAGATACCTCTGTAATGAAGATTGGGGCAAATGGAGGGAGCCGGGGCTTGGGGGTGAGGGGTAGTGTGTCACTTATAGACTGTTCAAGAGCAATTATTTTCTGCTTGCAAAGGAACAGTGGGGAAGATCTAAATGATCTGACGCAAGTCAATGACAAGATGAAGGTTTTACAGGGTCTTGCAAAACAGTTTCAACCCTTTGAGCTTTTTCTTTTTTTTATGTAACCACAACTTTGGAGTCAACTGGTTACAGGATGAAGACTTTGTCACCCTTTGAAGGCCATGTAAGAAACACATCAGTAAACATATAACAGGTAACAGGTGCTCTGTTTAAATGGGAAAGAAAGGTAGTTTTCAGTTGTTATAAAAATGCAGGAAGGAATGTAGGAAAAAGAAGGAAGCTCAGACGGGACAGGGCTTTCTCTGTCATGGGTCCTAAGTAATGGAACGACTTGCCTTTGCACGTTAGAGAGGCCCCTTCACTGTCCACTTTTAAAGCTCGTTTTAAAACCCATCTATTTTACTTGGCTTTCAACTCCAGCGGGATCCAGTTTTAAATTGTATGTTTGTTTGTTTTTTAAACTGTAAGAGTTTTTTTCTTTTTTTTAATTGTTATGTTGTGTTTTAATGTACAGCACTTTGTATCAGTTGTGGTTGTTTTAAAGTGCTTTATAAATAAAGTTGGTATGGTATGCTGTAGAAATCAAATATGACTTAAAAGAAATTTGACTTTGATAATTTAACAACTTGAAATTAGGCCTCTGTCTCTTTAAGAAACTCCTGCTCTTTCTGAAACTCCACCTTCAGGAAGTCATCACAACATGGCTCCTCCATTAACCCTTTAACAATGTTTTTACCAGTGTTTCACTGAGAAGTAGCTCGAATAATGAGCTCAGCTGATGCGCAATTCCCACTGGTGTTTGCTAATTACTTCTAGCTAGTCTAAAGGAGTTGAGTGGGGAAGGTTGGAGGAAACTGCAGCTCCAAGGAGGAGAGAGTTGAATGGTTGCCATGAGGATTAAAGGATTTCTCAAACATGATTGGAATAATCAAAGTAACACTCCAGGTATGTTTTTATAACATGATGAAAAACTCCAAAAAATAAATTATACACAATAAACCTGCAAAACCATTTTTATGTTTTGGATTTACAAAAAATAATTCTCTTTCCAACAAACAATATGGCTACTGTACACAATGTATTTCAGCTTCATTTATTGTTGAGTAGGTTAAAAAAAAAAGTTAAAATCATATCTTATTTTGGCTCATGTGACAAAAAACACTTCTGCTCTACTACATCCAGTCTGACTGAGTTTGAACTGTTTTGAAAAAATAATTGGTCTCTAGATGCAAAAATATTACATGCTACACTTTTGAAATGTATTTTTGCACAAAAACCAAAAAGTTTTATTGTTCATCCCATTACAACAATGCATTACTTTTTGTTGGTCTGTCACATCATCAAACACGCTTAAAGTTAGCGACTGTAAAGTTGCAAAAAGTGGTGCTGGATTTTGTAACTGAATCACTGACTTTATGGAGTCAAAATTTCCTTTTTGCTACAACTTTGTTATATTTATGGGACAAAATTCCCCTTTTGAACTGACTTGTTTAAAACTTCCCAGTATTCAGGAACATGTTTGCCTTGAGGCAGCTTTGAACATTGATGCTAAAGCAAAAAAATAAAAATAAAAATAAAAACAAATCAAAGTTTCAGCATAAATCCGCAATGCTTAAAGTTCGGATAAGATCGCTAAAAATGGCCGAATATGAAATTAAATCTTAAATATCCTCATCATTAAAGATGATGCTTTAATGGAGGACAATCTACATTATGGCTGTAAAGTTCTGCATTGGAATAGCGAAATGTGTTTGACTATAAGGACGGAACTGAAAGAAATCTCTTTCCAAGAACTTTCCTAAACTAAGAAGCTCAAGCGAATCCTGCTTCATCTGCTGGGAACCGAGAGAACCTAAAGCCGAGCAACACGTACACACACACACACACACACACATACACACACACACACATCCTCCACCCGAGAACACACTGCGGAGATGAGAAAATTCTGGGGGTATAACCCTCCAGAGGAGGACCCTCACAGGGCAGCCTGCAGCACTGCCTGCAGCAAACAGACCAGAAACAACTGCTGCTGTGTGAAAGTGTGTGTTCACTCCGGGTCAGTGTATATATATGGATTTAAAAAGGCGCACGCAAGAGTGCACAATCATCATTATGCATGAGAATTTGCAGACCCAGTGCGCTCCAGCATGTACTCCATGAGTGTTTTATGAGCTGCGTGGCCCCGAGTGTGTTCATTGTGTACACACACAGACACACACACGGCAACCGCATAATATTTCACAGAGCTGAGCTATAGCGACGCATCTCTGGCGTAAGGTAATGGTCCAGTTCTCAGCAGCCGAGCGTGATCCACGGCTCACCATCACGGCCGGGGCGACCGTCTCCCATTCGACGATGTCGGCCGCCGTTTTCTTCCCGACGGGCGGGGGCTCGTCTGGGCAGGGCCGGTCGCGCGGAGAGGTCGTGCCGGGGATCGTCTCCGTCGGGCCATCCCGCTCGTCTCCGGCCCAGGCCGCGTTGTTGTCCTGATCCGGGGCGTCCGCCTCCTCGGATGGCGGCAGGTGGAAAGGAGGCGTAGCTCGCATGGAAGACATCATTCTGTTGAAAACACAGATGAAGGAAATGAAAGAGGTTGATTCCTACAGTGAATGTGAGAACTTAAAAGCTCCACGTAAAACACAATTTATCTTCCTGCTCAGGGACAGCATTTGCTGAAAAAAACCCAAAAAAATATTCAGAGCAGTAATTAAGTGGAGTAGGCAGTAAATAGGACTGAAACGAATAATTAATCGGCCACTAATTTAGTAATTGATAAATCATTCACTCCAGTACACAGACACAAAAAAGGCCTTGTGATAAAAAAACATATTCATAGCAGTAATTGAGCTCAGTAATCAGTAAATAAGGCTGTAAAGATTAATTGTGATTAATACTGAAATAATCGGCAACTAATTTAGTAATCGATAAATCGTTACCTGGAGTACACAGACTGAAAAAAAAGTCATTTACTGAAACAAAACCAATATATTCAGAGCAGTCATTCAGCCAAAACTGTACAAAATATATATACATTTTGAATTTAAGATAAAAACACATTTCTCTGTCCATATTTACCCAAAATTCCTCAAATGGGATCTATTTTATATTCCCCTGATTTCAATTCAGGAAAGGAATGGACACATTTCTCTGTCCATATTTACCCAAAATTCCTCAAATGGGATCTATTTTATATTCCCCTGATTTCAATTCATTAAAGGAATGCGGTGTTATTGCAATTTAGGCAATAAAATGTTTATTTTTCTAATTTAAAAAAGCAACTGAGTTATTAGGTTTTATTAGGTTTTTTTTTGCATTTTTTTATGTATTTCTCATATTGTATAGGAAAGGTATAAGTTGTTCAATGAAAAGGCTGTCGAATGTGTACGTTTTTTATGCAATTAATCAATTAATTTCCAGAATAATTGATAGATTTATCAATTACTAAAATAATCGTTAGTTGCAGGCCACATTTTAAATAATCAAAACGACAACTGACGATGCATGCACACACACTAAAGCAGTCTGGTTGGGTCCAATTTTGCTCTTCCGACTAAAAACGGCAAAACGCACAGGCTGGTTGTCAACATCAGTGCTCCGTAAATCAGAGTGAGTTGTCCGTCTGAAATACGGAATCCCCTGGGTGCCCTTAAACATGAGTATGACCTTGTGTTAAAGAGGTATGAGCAGGTTTGCACTCTGTGTGAGTGGGGGTGTAAGGGATAGTGAACAATATTCAATTTACAGCGTGACTAAAGACTCATAATAGAATAAACCTGATTGTGAGAGAAAAGGGACAAATGGTTGAGGGAGTAAAAGTTCCCGCAACAAATCAAAGAGAGGTTGGAGAGTGAAGGTGAACTGTACAGGGTTGCTGTATCTGGGCACGACTCGTGTTCAGGGACTTTTTGGACCTTAATGTTCTGTCCGTGTCGCTTTTTACTGCCTCTTTTAGAGCGCGCCATGCAATGACTGCAACACAGATTAAATTAGAGGAGGGCCATGGGTGTTATGCCATGGAAAGTGAAACTTGCTCAACTCTGACCTGAAGAAGTTTGAGAACCCTTAGCAGAGTACCAAGGCAATGACATAATGTACATCTGTGTTTTAGCCTAAGAACAAACTGTACTGCTTCTAACCTGTTGCTTCAGTAACCCTTTATGCCGTTTGTCCTTCAAATTCATCGTGTTCAAGTTAAAGGTTTGCGTGTACCAAAAGAAAAACATTAGTTTATGTTTCAACCAACATGTTGCAGAGTTGGCTACATGGGTGGAGGCGAACTGCAAACAGGACTTCGTATGACTTTCTTCAGTGGGAACTTCCTGGTTGCCAGCATCTATAAAGGTCTCATTTCTAGAGTGAACACCTGAATCCACATTCAGGTAAAAACATTGTCTAGCAAGTTATGAGTCAAGCATGGGTCTGTAAATGCATCTGTTAGACTTTGGGTAAATATGCTTCAGTCAGGGCCACATCTTCTCCTGAGCATTTTATATTGTCTCCACAAATTCTCTTGGTAAAAATGTATCAAAGATTATAAAGGAAAACAGTCAAAGGATTATGTAGAGAAGTTCCAATCTTGTGCTCCAACAATATGGAAAATATGACGCAAATTGTTCTTCTCCCGGTTTAGTTTGTTTTTAGTGAAATCTTTAGCGAAAGTCCGGTTCACTTGGTCAGGTGTGAATACACAACTGCATTCTGAAGTGGACCAAAAAAAAGCCAACTCTGGTTCGCCTACAGACCTAGATTTTGTTTCGGTTGAAGTGAAATTTGGTGCAGGTCAAACACAAATGTGAACACCAAACACCCTAATCGTGGGAAGCAGTCTAGCGTGCAGGGCATTCTGGGTAAATGCAACCAAAACAAATAAGTCTAGTGCTAGCAGGACAAATGACTCCTGGTCTACTGCCAAAGACAAAAGAGAAATCCTACAACCACTAAAATATAATTCCATACCATTTTGTTTACATTTCATGAAGAAGGAGGTAGTACTTATATTTTCTTCATAGTTTTTTGTGTTGTTTCCTTCAGGGGTTCTTGGTGCAGTGCCACCGCAGGCAAGAAGGAGAATATGTTGCTTAACCGTCTCACAGTCTTAAGAGGTGGGTCCCATTAGACTCCATGAGTTTTTTTACTCTGTGAATTGACCCCGCGTGCGCAATTATGAGATTTTTTTGTGTATGTAGTTTCGGTAACTGACTGTCTGATGGGACAACCCCCTGCTTCCCTGCTCATGACATTCGCCGAACTCCTCCTGAGGATCACGCTAAGACGGTTAGAGTGTGTACCAGCTGAAAATGTAAATCCATCCATCCATTTTCTATACACCCTTGTCCCTAGTAGGGTCGGGAGGGGTGCTGGTGCCCATCTCCAGCAAACATTTCAGGCAAGAGGCGGGGTCACCCTGGACAGGTCGCCAGTCTGTCGCAGGGCAACACAGAGACAGACAGGACAAACAACCATGCACACACACGCTCACACCTAGGGAGAATTTAGAGAGACCAATTAACCTGACGGTCATATTTATCGACTGTGGGAGGAAACTGGAGTACCCGGAGAAAACCCACCATGCACAGGGAGAAAATGCAAACTCCCCGGGCCGGGAATCAAATCCAGAACCTTCTTGCTGCAAGGCAACAGTGTTACCTACTGCACCATTGTGCAGCCTAAAAATGTAAATAAATGTAGAATTTTTAAATTTGCTGTCCTTATGGCCAGACTACCAAATGTGAAGCTAGTTAAAAAAAAATCTAGTTTAAGAACAGAAATTGAAATTTAATTCACTTGTATTGTACTTGCTTTTTTTTGTACTTGCAAAGTTTTATTTCAAACTTGCCACAGGCGTCATCTTCCTTGCACACAGAGGGCATTTGAAGGCTTGTTCACAAGCAATCTTAGTCTCCACATGCCGATATGACTTGAGCTATTAAGACAGAAAACCAGCAACAACTAACACTAATCCCTGATCAACTCACAGAGTTGGTGCTGCAGCGATGAGAGAGCACTGAGGAGCCGAGGAAGGAGAAGACAGAAGACAGCCTATATTTAGCTGACAATATTGCTGCTGCTGTGTTTATGAGGGAGCTTCAGTTTTGGTTTCTTGGAACCGGAGTCTCATATGGCCAGGAATGCCCAGGCTCTCAACCCGCTGCCACTGATAGAGTTTCACCAGGCAGGGACCATTAGTTTGTTGGTAAGCACGCCGTAAGTCCTGTTGTGACTGCCTGGAGCAGGAAGATGTTCTTCTTCTTAACTGACCATCAAGTAAATTACCTGCTAACTTCTTTGTTTACCCAACACCACCAGTGATGGACTTTTTTTGTGGTCTGGATGTTTCGTACTGTTTAGTTAGACTTTTTCAATTAAACATGGCTTATTAAATGTTCACATAGATTGCAACAAAATGTTACATATGGAGAACTCACAGTGGATGTTTTTGATACTGTATGTGTGACTGGCTCTCTGCACGGGGTGCCCTTTATCGGGGGGCAGCACAAGAAAAAGCCAAGTCAGAATGACTTTTTAATTTTTTAATCAAAGCTGAAATGCTCACTGTTTTTAAGAACTCTGGACTGCATGTTTCTATTTTTATTTATATCTAGTTCATGTCTTAAACAATTTTTTATGAAACAGTTTAAGATTCAAAAAATATTTTATCTGAAACATTTTTTTTTTTTTTTTGGCGTGAGGATCTTCTGGCATCCGTGGCCATTTGTCCTATGTCTCTGTTTTGATGTTAAAAAATAACTACAGGGATAAAAAAAACACACAGAATAATAATATTTCTAACAATAATAACAGTATTTCTTACAGAATAAGAAACATAAAGCAACCTTAAACTCTTTATGTTTTTACATGTACTTAATGTCGACATTTTTGGCTCTGCAAGATTTTAAATGAAATGAGATGTAATAGGTCCTTTATTGTATTTGTAGACCTGTTCCAATAAGCAAAAAATAAATTAATTGCATAATAAAACAAAACAAGTTTGTTTATTTCAATTTGCGTGATTTAATGTTTTTTTAAGGACAATTTTATTTATAGAGACTTCATAATTCATTTTATTCGTTGCTTCTGTTGCTTTATTTATTTATTCTGGTTATTTAAAGCGTCTTCCAGTTCCACTGTTAAATTAATTCAAAGTTTATTTATCTTTGAGAATGTGCTCTTGTATTAATATGCCATTACCATTATATTACTTGAAAAAAAATAGTATCTAAACAACAATGTTGTCGTCTATTGCAATAACTTCTGGGACAATTGATAGTCCAACAAAATGTGTTATGGCGACAGGCCTAGATACTCAGAATTATATTGCAAGTTTGAGAAGCTCAACAGGAAAAAGTAAAGGAAAAAGTGCCTTGACCCAAAGCAGTTTTCCTACGAGGAATTTTCAGAGCACCTATGGAGTATGAGCTTTACTCTGAAGTAGATTTCTACCTTCTACCTACAGTGTTACAATAAGGTTACCTGAAGGTGAACTTTTAAAAGCACTTTACTGGGGTAAATACAGGGGTAAGCACACTTTTGGTACCCTTTAGATAACCTTTGAGCTATGT